TATTTGATTTTTTGTCATTCTGCTATTGTTTGCTGAATCAATTAATCTATTATCGAATCTATTATCTCTTAAACTACAGACCTGCATTTAGCTTGATTACTTACTCCTGGCTTGACATATAGCCACACCTGTGGAGCCTGGCTGGGCCTTGTGGAACTAATGAAGCTAAGGCTCGAACCAAATACTTAAAATTGTAGGTCTTATCTTCTATTTCTCCACCTTTTGAAGGGTCATCAGTAAGCGCACCAATCAGGATAGAAGAGGAGCTCTGGACTGTTTAGTAGAATCCAAAGAGCCTTCAGCCTTACAGAAATTATTACAGGACACACACATGACTGATGATGTCAAATTGGAACTAAAGCCTTCCAGAAAAATACCTACAAAACTACATTTATTGAAATGTAGCGAATGGTTAAAGCTCTCCATTATAGTACAATAGCAGGTGTCGCACAAAGTATATTTGAAAAAATAAGTTATATTTTTTAACTCCTTTAGGTCAGCTGTGCCTGTGTGTCCTGTCAAGCAAAGGATTTGTGGGGAACCATACAGCTCCTAGCGGCACCTAGGGATGTCTGGGGCTCCCTATGCTAAATGAATTTGAACAAGGCAGCATACTGCTTCCTGGTCCTACCTCCTTCCTCAACGCTAGCACTATTCAGGTAACACATGTTAAGGAGTCCAGTGGATCCACTTCCTCTGTGGCCTAAGTGTCTTTACTGATTTGAGGTATTTAGATTCAGCCCAAAATGCACTCCTCACAATAGTAGGTCAAGCCTGCCTTTATGTCTTTTTCTTGAATTTATTAATTCAGCTTTTGTGAAATAGACCTTCAATCATATTAGGGATTAAAAACCGTCATCAAGAGAAAGGAACACAGCAACCAGTTCATCGAAGTTTTACAGAAGGAAAAGGAGAAGTTGGATGATGGATGACATGTAATGTTTTGAACATCTCATAGCAAAGTCAGAGGAATCTTTTTATCTTTTTTTGTGTTTTGGGCCCCAATGACTATGCAAAAAAATTATGGGTGTTGGATATGTAAATAAAAGCACCTGCAAAACAGTTTTTTAAACCGAAAAGTGACTGCTGTAGCAGGGTTTTTGCTGTCATTATGGCCAAATGAGACATTGGTACTGTGGTATATGATCCAGAGAGTCTGTGATGGTGATCAGATCGATGAATTTCTATACAACTATGCTGCATTTTTATTTTTGAGTCCATAAACTGAATTGAAGTCAGTCATCTAAATCAATTTCTGAAAAGTCAAACAGAGAAAAAAGAGTGAATCCCAAAAGCATACATAAAATGTAGCTGCTCTAGGTCTGGAAATTGATTTATTTGACTAGCACCGCTTTAGCCATCTTTAAACTGTTTGATTTTTAATTTTTTTGCGCTTTGCTGTAAATATGTAAAATATTAAGGTGAAACAGTAGTTTTATTTAACATAAAAAATAAATAAAAATTTTTAGCTTTGGGTAAGTGGGAGCTCTGGAACTTAAGACTGGATGTGACAGATTGACAATTATAAATGTGTTAAAACACATAACTGCATTTTTTTCTTCAACTAGATAAAACATTTTGATGGTTTTTGTCATCTTTTGTCAAACTATGAAATACAACTGGGACATCTCAGTTGTGCTGAACTTCTGCAGCAAAGTTGTTTCATCCAACTTTCAGAACTATAATAATCCGTGTAAGGTTGCATGAGAAGAGGGAAAAACAAGGAAGCTGTGAGTAACATACCTCGTGATAACATCTTACTGTAAAGGATCTGATCCCCACTCCATCCCTCACACGCATGCACCCCCCACCCCCCAAGCACACCCACCCATGCACAGGTGACGAGTTTCTGCTCTTTTAGTCATCAAGTATGCAAACAGTAAACCTCTAATAACAGCACTTTGCTCTGATTAAGAAGGTATTTTAAAGGTTAGGCTGTTTGTTTTTGAGCCAAGAGGATGAGAAGGATCAGCAGGTATGCTTTCATCGAGCTGAATGTTACAGGTCAAAGTTGTGGCCGAAAACCAGGAAAGCCATGGTTTGTTAAGATGGAAATTCTTTAATAGACAGTGGCTGAGGGCTAATGCTGCCAGAGACCAGTGTAAATAATCACAACAGGTAGAATGAAAGCATCTTGCTGTGTGGCCAACTTTAGTGACATGTATATTGTGTTAACTTACTCCATTATCCTGTCTGGCACACACCCAATGCCTGGGTGACCTGTGTTTGCATGCAGCAGTGTGAATTCTGAATGCATGCTGTAAGTCATTTACACAGCTGGGCTTTTAAACTCTAGTGACTCAGTAAAGAGGACGTCCCTGGCCTGGGGTCTGTCCCAAAAAACCCACACACACCCTTAGCTGGCTCCTCTGGACTTAAAACAGAGCTCCAACAGGCAAAAACAAAGAGGATTGAAAAGGTTTAGCCAGAGAAAAGAGATTTTAATTTGGTTGGTGCATTTTCAATTCCCCCTTCAACTTTCACATAGACTATAATAAAGACAGAGGTCAATGAATGAAAACGGGCCTTTGTAACCAGCATTCAAACTCTGAATTAGGCACACTGGCTTTCCGGACGTAAGGTTTAGATCTTAGACAAGTTAAATGAGAAAACAAAAGCTATACATTACAAATATGGGAACAAAGGAATTTAGAGGAAATTGTTTAATTTCCATCACTTTCTACTATCTTAACTTTTTTCTTCACTCAAGTTAAAGGTGATGTGTTAATGAATTGAGGATCTCACACAAATGCTTAAAGATAAAAATACAAAACTCAGCAATAAAAACCTTTGATATTTATGAAGGAATTCTATCAAAATACATTCATGCTTCAAAATCAGACATATGAAGCTGTGCATTAAAGCCTTGATCTGACCAAAGGTTATTTGAAATGATATTAACAAAACAGAGACTTCGCTTTGAACCTATTTAGCAGATTTTAAATAAAACTTTTTTCACCTTGCTAATGAAAGCCATTTTTCAGAAACCCAAGAACTGTGATTATCTCTTCTTTTTTGCTCAAAAGCTTACTGCAGCCTTGGCTCTTTGTGAGTTTCTGTGGTCAAATCCATCTGTGAGCAGACTGTTGAAAATAGTCACAATACATCAGCTGCCACAATAATTACACATTGCAGTGCAGGGAACCAGTGTCACCTCCCTCTTTCTTGCCAAGACAGTTAAATATTGGTCATTCCAGGTTTAAATGTGAGCAAAAATTGGGAAACGTAGTGTTTTTATACACATGTATGGATGGATCAAGAGATCAATAGACACACAGAGAGATAGTCAGCAACTCCATTTTTTGGATTTACTAGCTACAAAATTAAGGCTCTATCCAAAAGAAGGGTTTTGGATGTATTAAACAAACTTCTGGGTCAGATAGGAGGTCGCATCCACACAAGGAAGAGGCAAAATTGACATTATTGGAAACTTTCTCCCAGTGTGTAAAAGTTACCCCACCTCAGCAGCCTCATGTGGACAGAACAAACCGCTTAACAGGCAACAGCTGGCATGTTTGCACAACGTAGGACTAACTTCCCCCCTTAACACGCATTCATTGACACAAGCAACAACAATAGCAGACTCAATTTATCGTATCTGTCTAGGATGCAGTGTTTGTCGTTGATCCAAACAATGCCTCTTTTCTCACTTCTTGGTTTATTTTTATAATTCTGCTGTTCTCCTTCCTTGTTTTTACTTCTGTACTTCTGCGGCTGGATTACAGCACTGGTGTGACATAAGTATAACAACACCTATCACAGCTCCTCCAGCTTGAAGCGGTTGCATCTTTACTCTCAAACTTTCCCGTGTGGATCAGTCTTTGTATCTGACTGCACATAGACTTACAAGCATCCCTGTTCCAATGCTCTTTATCAGCGTGTCAATCAGCCTTCCAATTAGCCCTAATTAGACCTCAACTTAACTGCTAATATTCAGTTCATTTGATTCAGGTGTGTTGCATATTGATAATATCCAAAGGTTGTACAATAGTAACTAGAGACTAGAGTTAAGAGATTCCCACACTAAATGCATCCTCCTGATGGCAGCATCAGGTTGTGGGGGACCCTTTTGTTTAGCAAATAAACAGTAGAGAGAGATGATAGGTAAAGTAAATGGATAGAGCAAAGAATGGGACAATCCTTGAGGAAAATCTGTTAAAGTCTGCAAAACACTTTGTTGTTGCCCTGCAGGACATCAATCTTAATCATACAGTTAGAGTAAAATGCAGAATTGGCAACCGTTCAAATCAAAACTGTAGCTGCATAGGAAAGCATTGATAGGAAAATACTGAAATATAAATGCATCCCACATTTTGATTTTTTTCTATATACAAAATGTTTCCAAAACACAATTGGGTGAAACTTAGAGTTCCCCATCCTTTTTAATCCCACTGACATTTAAGCTTCTAATATTACATCACTGTATAGCCTATAAAATAAAATATCACTGGATGCAAGTAGGTCACAACTCTCTCACATGCAAACAAATAAAAACAACAGAAATCAACACTTACATGCATTACTTTTAGATCTCTTTTTTTTCTGCTAAGATTTATCCAGATTATGGAGGAAGAAGGACCTGATGGTGGACTTTGAACCCATTCTTCCATTCACTCATTCTTCAGATAAGGCTGAGCTGCTCCCTCATCCGCAACTAAAGCACCTGAAAATTATAGTTTCTCTCAGCTGTTTAACAAAGAGGTGCAGTGGAATCTGACTCTCCTGCTATTAGCTGGGAAAATGCGCTTTGGTTTTATAAACACAGTCATTGTGCGCGCGCGGACAGGTGTTCCAGCTGAAGACTTCATAAACTATTTTTCACACTTCATATGGCACGAACAATTACCCTAGTCTTGTTTTCACACATTTGAATCTAAAAGATCATAAAAGTGTTTTGGATGCTTGTTTTTTTTGTGTGTGTGTGTGCGTGTATGGTCTGTTTGTTTTTTCACATGAGAGAAGGAAAACTGGAGAAAACGTGAGAAACGGAGGCAGCCTACCTAAATTCACAAAGCTCATGACCATGTCAGCGTCATTCAAGAAGTTGTTGTCTTGCAGACTGGCTATCGGCGGGCCCTGAGTGGTGAAGATGGGTTTGTAAGGGTAAGAGTATCTAGTCTCTTCCCCATCCGTGGACATGGCGTTGTACAGGTCCAGCATGAACATCGGGGCAGCGTTATGTTTCCCGTAGAGGTGAGGACGCGGCCGGTGCGGCAGCCCCAAGATCGACAGGATCTCCCGCTGCATCTCCTTGCGCTCCTGACTCTTCAGCCGGCGGTGGATAAAACTAGAGTGAAACTCGTTATCCAAAGTAAAGTTCGCAAAAGTTGCATCTGCCAGGACGCAGTAGCTGCAGAGCAAAAGCAGAACGGGTGCACCTCTCTCCAGAATATGTGCCATTGCGCTCTCCGTGCGTAAATGCGCCAATATTGCTTCACCGGGATCGAGAAATAGATGTAGAAATCTCAACAGCAAGGCAGCTTTTTTTTTTTTTATCAATATCCAAAAGTCACTCCAAGGTCCTCATGTTGAGGGTTAAACACTTGTAACTGGTGCATCAACTCAACGCAAAGTCCTTAAATTAATCGTTATTTGTTGGATAGACTGAATCCGCCTGCGCTTCCCTCCTCATTCAAAAGCGTGCGATCAAAAATTGCCAACTTCGATACAGCTTGCAATTGCGGAGAGGAGGCAGCAAGAGCATGCATTTCAGTGAACAAGCTGTAAGGAGGCGCTGAGCGCTGGGAGGAGTGGAAGAGGGAGGGAAAGAGGGACAGATAGGGCGCATTTTCTCTGGATCTAGAGCGAGTTTGACTTTGTTGTCAGTTTGAGAACGGCTCCAGGCGACACGTGCGAAATACAAAACGCAGACCAAACATGGGATATATGTTCTTACACTTCAGTGTAAGTTTTATACATTCCCACAATTAGCCTACTTTGTAAGATGTGATGTCAAATGTAAAACTTTTAGTTCTTTAGCCATCTTTAGTCGGACTTTGTGAAAAAGAAAACAACCCATTGTAGGATAGAGTAATTTTGAGTTTAGAGACAAATACCTCAATACTGTGGGAGCAGTTGCAACATGTAGTTGCAGCCCTGCTTAATCTGCAGGTGCACTGTCTGAATACAAGGGGTCTTGTGGGACTGAGCCCAGGCTTCAAAGTCTGTTGTCCTTTGATGTCAAAAAGGCACAGCCAGGGCAAGCCTGAAGGTATAAGCAAACTTTGCGGCAGCTTAAGGCTCTCTCACATGGTAAACTCCCCCTTCCCCACAAAAAACACAGGCACACACACACACACACAGGTAAGAGCAACAGCAAAGTTAAGGTACTATATTAAACCTGTCTTAGGGAAAATGCTGCTTTATCATAAATACACTGCTTGACTAAATAAAGGAAACAATCAGATACCACATCCTTGATCTGAATGAATAAACTACTCATACTGAATACTTTTTTCTGTACAAGGTTGAATGTCCCGATAACAAAATCACAAAGGAATCATATATGGAAAAATCAAATGTATTAACCAATGGACATCTGAACTTGGAGTCACACACAAAATTACAGTGTAAAAACACAATACCGGCTGATCCAACTTTGATGTAATCTCCTTAAAACAGGTCAAAATGAGGCTCGGTAGTTTGTCATCTCCAACAGCCTTTATGACCTCCCTACAATAACTGGGCATGCTCCTGATGAGGTCAGGGAGGGTCTCCTGAGTTATCTCCTCCCATACCTGGACTAAAGCATCTGCCAACTGCTGGACACTGTGTGGTGGAAAGTAACCTTGGTGGATGAATCAAGACATGATGTCCCAGATGTGCTCATTTGGATTCAGGTCTGTGGAACAGGCGAGCCAATCCATTGCTTCAATGCCTTCCTCTTCTAGGAACTGCTGACACACTCCAGCCCCATGAGGTCTAGCATTGTCCAGCATTAGCAGCAGGAACCCAGGGCCAACCGCACCACCATATGGTCTCACAGGTGCCCTGAGGATCTCATCTCGGTGCTCAACGGCAGTCATACTACCTCAGAGCCCCTGATCTCTATTTATTTATTGGATATCTGATTAGCCATTCATAGTACACGTTGCTATGAAGTCACCAGCCGCCATTTTGATACTCCCAAGTTAGACCGGTCAGAATGTAAACTATACATGCGCTACAGCAACAACAAGGTTTTCCTCATTTTCAGGGGGGCTTAAGGCTTTTAAAATAAATGCAAGTAAATTCACTTTTACATCACTTTTACACACACTTGCTGCTTCATAGCATCAGTAGATTACTGTAATTTATTGTAAAAAATAGGCACATCACGTTGCATATTCAGTATGAAGTCTATAAATCATGTAATATAACATTCCATCGAAACACAATGTGTTAATAGAGCTCGCTAATACTGTATTTAGATATTAGGAATATTATACACACACCCTCACACACTATCTGATTTTACATCAAGACGGATTTACAAGTACTTGTCTGTTAATGCTATAGTATTTTTCTATTTTCAAATTGTGCATGCACATATATATATATATATATATATATATATATATATATATACATACACTGCCTGGCCAAAAAAAAAAGTCGCCACCTGGATTCAGCTAAGCAAATAGGTACAAGCCTCCTATTGGATAATTACTGCATGGGCAATTATCTTTCAGCTGGCAACAACTTATTTAACCCCAACTGGTGCAATGACTTGCTTCTCATTCCCTAACAAACATGTCGAAAAACGCATCCCGTGGTCGTGGAAAATATGTTAGTCTGTTTGAGAAGGGTCAAACCATTGGCATGCATCAAGCAGAGAAAACATCTAAAGAGATTGCAGAAACTACTTAAATTGGGTTAAGAACTGTCTAACGCATTATTAAGAACTAGAAGGATAGTGGGGACCCATCATCTTCAAGGAAGAAATGAAAATCCTGAGTGATCGTGATCGGCGATCACTTAAACGTGTGGTGAAATCAAATCGAAGAAAAAAAACAGTAGAACTCAGGGCTATGTTTAATACTGAAAGTAAGAGCATTTCCACACGCATAATGCGAAGGGAACTCAAGGGATTCGGGCTGAACAGCTGTGTAGCCGT